ATTTTCACTGTGATATGCTCGGTAGAAATTAATCATTAAAGTTTTGACAAGATGCACTTTGTCTGTCAAGAATAAATGAAAATGTCACAGACTTCATGATAACACTCTACATTGCATTCATTGACTAAGAACTTATACTTTTTTTATAGTTTTTGATGCTGACGCCGCTGTCGCCGTCACCGGAAAAGCGGCGCCTATGTCTCCAAATTTATCAGGTTAAGTTTTTTATGTTGACGCCGTCGCCGTCGTTGTCGCCTATGTCTCGCTTTTTGCTTCGCAAGCGAGACAAAAATTAAAGATATCATTTGTTTAGTGATTTAACCCTTATCTATCAGGCTATCCAGATTCGAACCAAACTGACCAATTACAAATAGTGATGTTGATTATCTCTTCAACACCTGATTAATCTTGAGATACATAAATCATAAATTCATTTTGATATGAAACATTAGCTGAAATTCATGCAGAATTCTAAGTATAAATTAAAGGCTTCACCCTAAAAAGGCCGGGCTATTTGAGGTCTTAGTAGGGCCGGGGGGGGGGGGGGGGGGGGCCATTATGGCCCCCCATAAGATGTCAGCCGTGAAGCGGCCGATCTCCGCAAAAATGTGCACGCATGTCAAGTGGAGTGTATAGAATACTATAATTTCAATTTTTTTGAAAAATTCACTCATTTGCATGTTTATGGTACTTTATGCAAATTACGTCATAAAAATCACATTTTTACCCATAAATCATATATTATTCATATTTAAGCATTATTTTTCACTACAGATATTCATTAGACCATTCTGAATAATAATACGAGAAACAAAATTGGAAGTGCCAGCTTATTCCTTATGTTATCTCTTGTTTTTATGATTTCTTATGTATTTCATTGTTTTTTTAACTTATGTAACTGTATTTCATTGTTTTTGTTGTTTTATTTCATATCTAACTATAATTCAACTATTTTGACCCCCAAAAGAACCACCTAAACTTTAAAAAAGACCCAATAACCCATGTTTGATCTATTTTTAGGAAAAATAACTTTTCCATATGTTTTGTACACAAATTATGAAAATGAGCGATTTTCGGGCTGACATGCAAAGATAAAAGGTCACATGACCTTGTAACCCTAATTTTAGTACGACTTAAATTTTTAAAAATTAATTCACCTCTTTCTTTTATCGATGTTTTGTTTGTGTCCCTCTATATTTGTCAGGGTTTTTATTAATTTTATTATCATGCCAGGTTACCAAATCCTGTCCTTTTTTATTTGGCACCATCCTGACAAACCCACTCATATGATACGAGGGTTTCTCTGAAGTTTTTGAAAGAAAACAAAAACCTATGTCCCTCGGTGTGGAACAGAGTGACTCCCTGCTCAGTATGAGATACCTTTATCTGATAATCAAGGAAAAGAACTTGGGTGTGAACTGAAAGTAGACCCTTCCTGAAGAATTGCACTGTCGTGCAGATAGTTATTAAAAATGATGATACCGGTAAGCAAAAAATATGGGCTTTTGATGAAAAATGGTGCAGTTAATCAAAGATGAAACAAATAAGAAGTTATACATAATTAATGAGTCACTTATCCATGTGATGCCCTTATACTATAGACCTGTATGTATTTTATATAGATTTTACTAGCTGGTAAAATCCATGTTCAGACTTTAGGAATGTGACAGGGGTCAATCCCTTGACCCCAATGGACATGACATGTTTCACACAGAGTACATGAGCAAGTAGATATGCATGCCTCTATTGCAAGGCAATAATCAAGTCAGAGTCACAATTAAGGGGGCACCTCAAAAATGCTAACAAAACACTGGTATGGAAATTTGAATTCAACTGCATGGTTTTCCATCGTTTCCAAACAAAAAATTAGTGTTAAAGGAACACTAACATGGAATTAAATTAAAAGAAATTAGTGATGGAATTTGAAATTACATATAGGTAAGTTAATCCTTATTGATGTTGTTCAAACACCTATCAGGTGTCACATTTATACTATCATAGATAGTATACCAAGGTAATATTATTAACACCCTAGTCACCTAGTGTATATATATTTTTTGCAAAAAAAAGTAGAAAATCATACATGTACATGACAAAATATTTTCTCCTAGCTGGCACCAGTGGTGTAGGCCGGGTGGCCTACCCCTTCAGTCGAAACGGTATTTAAACAATAATTACAAGAAAAGACAGAATCGTTTCTGGGAAAATGTTACATGATGACAGTGTTAACTATATTTTGCACTGTATATCCAATTACAAAAGCATGGACAACAAATGACGTACAAATCTTTTTTGTGTTAACAAAGTGTCTGATAACAATCAATAATATATATTACATTATTTAGGTGGATCTTTTATTGTTATGATTATTCAGTTATCTGCGTAAAAAGTCAAAGAGATTATTGTGACTATAACAACCGTTATTCTTGTCACCCCAAACTCGGCACCAATGTCAATACCAATATATCATATTAAATCAGTCTTCAATTGCATACAGAGATTATGTTACTTTCCTTTTAATCTATACATCAGATACAATTAACTTATACATGTTATTGATGAAAGATTTGTTAGATCGAGAGAGCCAAGGGTGGATTTAGCTTTTTGCTAAGGGGGTGGGGGGGGGGGGGGGGGTGGCCCAATCACGATGCGGAGGCGATTTTTTTTTTTTTTTTTCTTCTTTTATTTTTTCTCTTTTGAACCCCTGTTAGTGATGTTTTCCTGACATCTAACTAACACGATAGAGACCATAAAAATCAGTGCATGGTAATGTCTTTTTAAATCAAGTAACAGTTTAATACACAGTTATATCCAGAGTTATCATGTGTTTGCAGATACCAGATGAGTTGAATATCTTCTCACAATATTTGCACTTTTCTCTCCAGTGTGCGTTCTTTCTTTGTGGTCTTTCTCTTGGTCGGACCTCTCTTTGGGGGAAAGCAACCTTTATGCCAAGGGGGGGGGGGGGGGGGGGGGGGTTGACGCAATGACGATGCAGAGCATTGTCCACGAGCCACATAGCGGCGAGGCGATTTTTGTTGTTGCTATTTTGAACCCCAGTAAGTGATGTTTTTCTTGGGGTTTGACCTGATGACGATGCGGATACTGTGTGGGTCTGGACACAAGATGGCGTTTTTCTATGCACATCACATTTTCACTTGGCAGCCCAAGTAGATTAAACTGGCACATATTCCAGTTTCGTCAACTGGATTCAACTGGTACCAGTTGATTCCAGTTGAAAATCCAACTGGCTTCAACTGTTTTTTTGACCTGGGTGGGTCTGGACACATGATGGCGTTTTTCTATGCACATCATATTTTCCAAAAGTTTCAGTGCCCATATGCTGGTCTCATTCAGACTTATTTTTGGAGTCTGAACGGGAATTTAATATTTTATTTGTACCCGTATATATGTTTAGATTATAGCAGTTCTTCTCATGAACAAAGTAGAATGAAATTAAAGTTATGCTTCTGATATTAGGGAGACATTCAACGCATTTAAAAATAATCGTCACTTGTGGTACTTAAAGCTAAAGGGGAATTAGATCCATCCTGAATTAAGTTGGTTTCAATAGAAGCAGAAAATGAGAGGAACAGGTCGGTGAAAGTTTGAGCAAATTCTGGTTAAAATATAAAAGTTACGAATGTTGGAAGTAGCGATCAATCAAACATAAATTGGCAACAATGTGACAAATCTTGTGAGCCCCCCCCCCAATATGCTCCGTACATAAAATTTAATAAACCTTCATTTACTTTGTTATTGATGATGGAATATATATTTTTCCATACATATTTAAAATATATTTGCAATAATCATATTATTGGTGCATGTATAATTGAACATTTTCTTGAGGGAAATTTAATTAAGAATTAAAATTTTATTGACTCTTTGACCCCATCTCGGGATATGAGGGTACAAACAAACATAAAAGTATAAATAGCAATGCATGACTTATGAATACAATTCTCATACATTATACATAGATAATGACACAAAGATACAAACGATAATAGGTATATAGTGTATGAAAGTACAAACATGAACAATGAACCAACTAGTAAACACAAAGTATATATACATGTACAATGTAGATAGTGACAATAATACATGTATAGGTATAATGCAGTCTATTTACAAGCAAAAAAGTAAACAAAGTAGGCTGTTTCACTATTCTACCGCTACGAGTATGTGAAGGTTCAGCTCTCATTGTACTTCCTGAAATGTTTGAACTATCTTCTTTCTCTGTTTTTTGATAAAATGTCAACATAATAAGGCGAGTAAATCTTGCTAAATTCTTTAACTGAGAAGTGCTTATATAAATGTAAGGGCATGTCAAACCATTCAAAAGGGGATATGACCCGATTCTGATAACTAAAATCTTTTGCTTGTAAATACACAGGATAGGGGTTAATTAACAATCAAAGAAACCAGACTTTCAAATTGAAAACCCCCCGGAAGGATACTAAGGAAGGCATTTGTTCCCTTTTGGAACGCCGAACATACCGCGGTGTGTGCAGCTGAATATACAATGGCGTCTTATTTTGTTTACAAGCGACAGATTCCTTTTTTTTTGTATCACTGCATTTGTCATCAAAATAAAAACATGCGCGGGTTTAATGTGAGGCAATAGATTATACATTTAGCCTGACGGTAGTGAAGTAAGAGAAAGAACTCAAGAGAAGATGAAAACACAGGCACTGAAAATGTGAGAAATGTCATGGGACATCGTCTGCTTGTGCAAATCATGTCCATACTGTGATCTCACACATCTCAGCAGCATTCGGAGAGCTCTTCAGGTGCTATGCCGGGGCTGTATTTAAGCGTTTTGTAATTTATAATAATCATTACTATGAATGTTTCCAAGCATTGAATTTTGATAAACTTGTCGAATCAAAGTGTCAATTTTGCAATAATCAACATGAAATTAGTTATTCAATTCAATGAATATCTACTTTAAAGAAAAGTAAAATGTACATTAGAAATGGGAAGAGATGTTAATGGAATAAATAAAAATATCACACATACATCACAGTTGTGGATGAACTGCTCACCTTTGATTCTTTTCCTTTCATTGCAAGTGTTTCAAAAAAACATTGATGGCCACAGAATTCATCTCCTAGACAAACTTCCTTCAAGGATGGCATGGAGCATATTATCTCTGCCAGATCAAGTGACATAGTAGGTCCACAACTTCTGTTAATCCTGAGTGCAACCTGGATAAAATGACAAGGTGATTACTGATAGGATGCAGAATATAGATGTTCACTGGGATGTTTAATAGGCATACATGTGTAACCTACATGAGCGGCTACCTTACATGTGCTGCTCGAACTATGGAGAGTAAGAGGGAAAAGGAAATAAATAAGGGTACAGGCTGAAGAACTTTTGCCATGCCATTTCATATCAAATTCCTATTTTTACGACAGTAGGAATATATCATCTTAGTTTACCATGTACTAAACAGAGAATCCTTAAACTAAATAAAAGGAGAGTATAAGTCAAAGAACAGGTTTCAAAGGAGATTATTTAAGTCTGCACCATCTGGTACCTCATACCTTAGTCATTTATAAATGTTAATAGGAATACGATTACTAAATTAAAAGGGTAGATACAGAGCGAAAATCTAGTCTCGCCAAGGAGAAAAGAACTTATGTTGATACCCCTTGCATGAGGAGTTGATGCGGTCTAGTGGATAAGTTACCCAACTGCAGATCACAAGGTCACTAATCATTAATGTCCTTTGGCAAGACGTCAATCACATTTTCAGCCAAAAAAATGCACCCTACCACGGACCTACTTCTGCAAAAAATTGCTCTCAAAAACCATACTTTTCAGGAAAATTCCTAAATAACTTCAACATGCGCTCAATTTGCGAACTTTATACCTATAGGTCTATGAAACTTGGGAGACATGTGTATGAACCTACTTGACAACTGTCTGCCAAGTTCACTAAAATTTCATGATGTCAATCATCACAAGAATATTGTAAAAAATGCTGAATTTGCTATGCATCAAATTACAATATGCGTGACATGCTTGTATTACAAAAGCGTGGATGACAATGGGGTCAAAATGACCGCAATGAAGTACGTGCCCATTCAAATGATACCATACACAATATGTGTTCACTTAGAAAATTATGAGTAAATCAAAATTGAAAGCAGGTCACAATTTGGATTATGCAGGGATTTGGATTACAACTGTTACACGTATCGGCTATGCATGACATCAATTTTCAGAGTGATTTTTGTTCTTTTTTTATTTTTCTTTATCTTGAAATTTTGCAAGTATTTTCTGGGTGGCCAAACTCAGGGCATCTCACAGCCCGATTTTGAAAATCTGCCAAGTGCGACATTTTAGATGCCATTTAATATCCCGCATTACAAATTTACAATGTATCGCACTTTATGTGTCACGTATTAGTATGTTAGTGCAAGGCCATATCAGCCAAAGCATATATGGAAAACCATACGTGTAATGACGTGTTGTGTACATAGGATTATCTAATTGCTGGTATTTATCTGCTCAAAGAAATAGAAACGCGGGCATCAATGTATGCATATCGTTATACGATTGCAGTTCTAGTTTTCGAATTAATACTATTCAAACCTCTTTGATTTGATTTATTTACCAACAGCAATAACAGTAATACATTTCATGCAATGATATACAAGAATGTCAAGAAGAGAAAATTAGTTGGTAAAAGGGGCTAGAGAATAGCACATGCGCTAGTCGAGATGCACCCTTCCATAATTATACTGTTGTACTGTAAGAAAACTGCAAAAGATATTAAAGGTAAAGACCAGTTTTGGAAACGCCCCCCTCTCAAAAAATGAAATGGAAGCTCTTATTACCAATCATGTGAAAGAATATGTTCTGACTAATACGTGATCATATAAATTTTGCTGACAAACCGCCTACTAATTGATATATTTGGTAAATTATATCTATTTGGACCTGATAGATATAACGCACATGTTGCGCACGTGTGCGTAGTCCCATATACATCTTTCTGTGTACAGTGCTTGTAACTTTACCAAGACTGGGCCAAATTTCTTATCATTTTGATGATTCCAGAACCTTGCAGTACACACCAATACTTATATGCTAGATGATCAACCTTTTCTGATCGATTCCACAACGTTTCTTTCACAATGCAATCGCATGACCATAACTGGTCTTTATCTTTAATGTAAGAACTTGAACAAAAATGGATGAATTAATTTTGTTCATCAAACTGTGATTAAACTTACCACATGTGGTCCAATGAAAGCATAACCAGCTACAGTGTGTGCTGTCATGTTTCTGGATATGGTCAGTGTAATTGCCTCTGATGAAACCCTGTCCTTCACCAAGGTTGCTACATCTGGGTCCTGACTCTCAAAGGCTACATCAACAATGAAAGATATCTCTCTACCTACATCTGTGTACTGTAGACTCCCAAAGGCTGAACCAACATTGAAAGGTGACTCTATACCTACATCTATGTCTAGTCCCTGAAGCATAGAGTTCAGTACATGGGTTGCAATACCTTTGTTTTGTGACACAGTGAAGTACAGGAGATACCTAAACTCCTTCTTCCTTGGCAGCACTACTTGCTCAATCAGCCTGTTGAATTCGTTACGATCTGATTCATACAGGGAAGCAAGATGGACTCCAGCCATGTACTCCTGAAACAGTTTGTGAGGGAAGAAGACTGGCAATTGCACATGAGAATTCTTCTCATGAATGTCGATGCTAATGGTAATTCTCTCCTCCTGAGACAAAATCCCAACCCGACAGGCAGTGTCCTTGGATTCTGGGCATATTCCAAAATCATCTTCATCGAAAATCAAGGTATTTTCTAGCAGACCTTTGAGGGCCCGTTTGGCAATTGGTCCAAGAAGCTCATCAATTTTTTTCAAATAAGAAAGAAATAAGCGGCTGCCTACTTTCTTCTCCGTTTTCTGAGCATAATGTTCTTTTAGAAAGGCAATCATTTTTTGGAATATCTGAGAAAAAGATTTCAGTGATTTCATTTCCCTTAATTTTTGCTCGTCAAGCTTTTTCCACATAAGACACAACATGGCTACATATATAGGATAGTGGGCCATGTTTTCAGATATGACATCATTCTCACTGGTGAACTGGATAAGCTGAATTGCCTTTTCTTTATCTTCTTTCTTTGGAAAGTATTTGTGAATGTAATCTGACAAATTCTCTCTGTTAAAACCCTCAACATGAATGAACGTGTAGAGCTTCATTAGATCACCATCTGATCTAATCTCTACTGCTCTCCATGGGCGAGTGGTCACCAAGACTGGGCAAGAGGCAAGTTGATCTGAACAAAGAATCTCTACAAGTCCAATATCACCAGTCTCAGATGAGCTTCCACGCGCCTCTGAGGGGGTAATACTTGGCTGTGATGACTGAAGTTGCATTTGATAAGTAGGCTGTTTTTCACAAGATTTTGTCTTCATGATTTTGCCACTGACTTCATCTAGCCCATCGAATGCGATGAATACCTTGTCAGGATTCGACCGGATATACTCAGTAATCTGAGAAACCGTTGCTGGATTGTTTTTGGCCAGATAAGACTTTGCAATCTCGCCAATAGTGTGTTGCTTAAATTCACGTAGAGGAACAATTAAGACCCACACAAAATGACTGAAATGCCTCTCTCCAATCCAGTCCCAGGCAATCTTAGCACAGAATGTAGTTTTTCCAGCCCCTGCCTCTCCCTGAACCATGATCCGCTTGGGGAACTCTCCATTGACTTTGAGATCAAGGATATCATTGTAATCTAGCATTTGTTTCTCTGTCCCATGTTCTTCTAGTAAGACAAGATTAGTATACATGTCGTCAAACTGCACAATGGAAGCAGGATTGAGAGGATCAGCTCTGATCTTACAGAGAGTTGACCTATACTTGAACTTAAAATCATTTGCACACCGCTCAACCAGTTCAGGAGAAAGTGGTTTGGTCTGAGACTCAGCTAAAGGAGGTTTGGTCTGTGAATCGAGCAGTCTCGATGGCCCTCCTAAAAATACAAATCCATATTCATATGATTACACAAAAACACATTTTGATACATCGGAAAGGATTGTAAAGACCCGAGGCTAATAGTATGACATACGACTAAGTGCATGTAGTCAAAGACACAAAGTCCTACATGTTTGTCTGAATTAATATGACTTCATTCAATTTTAAGGGCATTTAGAATCTGACTAATTTGTGTATACATGTATATGTAATCACTGGAATTATTTTTCCTAGGACATTTCAGCAAATTAGAGGTTCCCTGACAATCACACATCTTATTTTGAGAAAAAAACAAGACAAATATGATTGCATCTTCAGTATGCCTCTGCGTAAATTCAGTTAAAATCAGGACTTGAATCAATCTCTAAATATAAAAATGAGAACAAAAAGCCTATATATACATGTTGCTTGATCTTTACAACCTATGACCTTAGAACCTGACAATCCAACATTGGATCGCTTGTCTCCCTATGGTGATGCATACCATATGTAGTTTTTTTTAAATAAATTTTCCAGCTACAATAGCATTAAAGGTAATGCAAAGTTTTGGGAAATTTTGAAAATTGGATGGATAGTAATTCTTTGGAATTTTGATATATTTGGATGCCCCTGTGGATGTATTATAAGCACTAGAAAATTTAGCCCCTAAAACACTTCTGCTTTTGAAGATTGAATAATCAAATATTTACCGATGCTCCTGGTAAATTGCAAATATTTCAAATAGCGCATCAGGCCATTCCATGGTAACTGCGATATATAATTTCCAAATGGGAATAGCAAATCGGTCGATTGTAGTCAAGAAACATTGTTTTAAGGTTAAAGTAATACCAGTCTTGAGAGGGAGCTATACAACATAAAGAGTTTCTTATTTACAATTTCATCACTTTAGATTCGATTTCAACCGCGACAACGATCATGGAATATTGTAAAATCGCATATGCTTCCATTATCTTCATTAGAACCAAATGCATTACCCCATACCAAAACTTTATATTACCTTTAAGTAATTATTGATATGGTGATAATCGTTCCGTTTTGCTGACTTTTGACCTTTTTAACCCAAAACGTAAAGGCCCGAATTCACAAAGGAGGTTTGTCGACAAACCTAGGTTTATGTGCGTCATATGACGCGTTTTGATGCATTTCAAACCTAGTTTTGTACAAACCTTGGTTTGAAACACGTCGTCATATGACACACATAAACCTAGGTTTGTTCAAAAACCTCCTTTGTGAATTCGAGCCGAACAGTTTGTCTCAATATTTATGCATACCAACACCGAATTTGAAATTCATGGCTCAAACCGTTCTTGAGACATAGCAATAATGGGACTAAAACCCTAAAAATTAATCAAATTTGACCCTCATGGCCCTTGGCCTTTGAAACTTATCACAAATTCTAATCACTCCATCTCACTTTGGTGATGCATAATAACACCAATTTGAAGTTCATACCTCAAGTGGTTCTTGACATATCATGAGGCTTTAACCTGTAATTTCCTCTTTGACCCACTACCGGTAACACCCAAATCTAATCAAGATTATCTTCCTATGGTAATACATACTATCATCAAGTTTGAAGTTCATACCTCAAGAGGTTCTTGAGAAATCGCAATAGCAAAGAAAAAGTAGGACAGATGGACAGACAACCCCAAAACATATTTTATCCGGCAGCACCTTTGATGGGCGAATGCATAATCACAATTATCATAAAAAGGATGGTGCAAAAGAATATAATTTGTTTGTAGAACAAAGAAAGCTGGCAAACATTGAATTATGCTGTCACTAAAAGTACTTGTACTATATTGGTGTCCAGAAAATATCTAGGATTAACAAAGTTAAATTAGTGAATTATAATAACATGCATATGGGGCTTGTTAAAATTTGACACTTCTGTCAATTGTGGCAAATGTATAGAATACAGAGCACTCACTATCTCTATGGTAAAAACTTCAGTTTCATGCACAGTTTTCTATATGTCTTCTGGTGGAGAAAGAATTAATATCTGTTTACCTGTGCTGTTTGGAATTAGAGGTTCATTGAGTAATCTGTCCGATAGGCCACCCAAGTCAATCTCTCGAAGTGCGTCTGCCAAAAGCTGTCGTCTGTTTGAGTGTGGAGGTTGCTGCTTGACTTTCCATTTCATGAATACTCGCAAAAATGCATTGGAATAATTATGCGACATCTGAATAAGGATTGCCTGTATCTGAGCTGAGGGGATCCCTAGAGATATCCCTACTGCATCGTAGTAAGATGGAGGGATATCATAGGCCAGCTTCAGGAACTCCATATCACTGACAGTACTGTAAAATGAAAAATAAATCAATTGGGAATGATAGGATATTAGTTAGAGAGCATCCTATTGGCTGATTAGCTATCATGTGACACTTAACAATTTGTATTATGTGCTCGAGCGTGCAATATAACAGCCTGGGGATGTCAGAATTGGTTGACAGTGATATTAACATTTGAAACAAATTGCCTCAAGTTGCAGGTGAGGGTGGTATTGTTCTGGCAAGGGTAATCATTCCAAAAAAATGTCTGGCAGTAAATACAATAATGATGGTGATAGTAATAATATTAATATAAGGAGAGAAGGATTATTACAACTTTTAATAATAATAATAATAATGTTTACATTATAACTGATACTAGAATGGATGATGATTATTATAATTATCATTATCATCATCATCATCATTATCTGTACCAAGCAAAGTCTATGTAATCGGCTTACTTTTAATCATCCGGTTATCGCTTTTGGTTGGGTGGAGTTAGCCGAACTTTTGTGAAAAAATACCCGTTTATTCACAAAACTTCAGAGACTATAATGTATGTGAAAAAAACCCTCTCATCTACAAATAGTCTGGCATAATTTACACGACAATTTGTGAAAACCTGAAGGCAAATCTACGAAAGACTGTATCCTGAGTATGCATCTTTACATGATCTTTTGTTTCACAAAAGTTCGTGTAACGCAATGACCCGACCAGACGCGACGACCCGATGAATCAAAGTAAGCATACCTTTCTGCAGTGTCAGGACCTGGATTGGTTTCAACATCACCAGATCTCATCAAGAGGAGCAGGAGCAGATAGAGAAGGCAGAATCCATCCATGGTGTAAGATGTCCTTCTCATTCAACAGAAGTTTAGTTCTCTGGAAACTGGGGATGCCATAGGCAACAATACCTGGAAAAAATATTCAGAAATATGTACAATGTATACATAAAACAGATTGAATACAGATTCTTGAGATTTGCAGCCGTATTTTAAACTGTTACTCTCAATGGATGATTGACGACATCTTCATTCATGCGCAGTAACAGTATAAAATATGGCTGCAAGAATTTCAACACGGAGATCAATTTTGACGAAGGAAATCTGGAAAAAAGACCCTTAAACGCATCGTACAATCAAGCCTAAAAGCATAAATATTGGAGTATAAATGCATCGGCTATGCATCCACTAAAATTGAGTATTTGGGGCAAAGTTTTGTGGTCAGATCTAGCCACAAGGTTTGCACGGGAGACCCTATGGTCGGATTCTGTTTCTTAAGAGAGGAGCGGACCTTACCCAAATAAGAGGCTAACAAACGAAAGAGACAGAAATTTTCGGTCTAGGGGAGACCAAGAATCACTTCAAAAGTATGTTGCCGGTGCCGGCTGCCAGAGCTAAAATATTCATGGCTGTCAATTTTGGGGAACTGCTTGGAGGAATTGTTTTTCTTCAGACGAACCACCAACGTACCGTAGCGTATGCACATTTTTTTCGCTCAAGGGGGGGGGGGGGGGGGTGTTGAGTTGAATTTTTTTGTTTTAAACTTTTATTTGATATTCGCTACTCCCCCCCCCCCCCCTCCCCCTTGAGTACAAACAGATTTGAAAAATTGCATAAGGTTTTCAATTTACACGGAGATTCTACATAGCAGCGGCAGAGCTGGATGAAGGGCCTGGTGGCGGGAATCTCCCGCTACGAGCTGGTGGGATGGCGGGAGAATGAGCGTGGTGGTGTGAAACTCCCTCCAAATGCGGGAGGGTTGACAGCCCTGTATATCATAATAAGTTATGCGCTATACAAGAACGGATAATTGTTATTATGGAATAACCATGACACAGATGTATGGAAATTGCTGAATATGCATGTATCGAAGAGACAAAACCCTCCTAAACCTCTTGCATTTTCAGCAATTTCGAGCGAATGGCGCTCTATATCATGAATATTCATATTTGCTGCGCCAATACCTCGCATGCGTACTGTCTCTTCGCCATGTTAAATCGACGATACAACATTAATGAATCGTCAGGTTAGGACAAAGAATTACCCTTTTTCCCATCGAAGACCTCTTGAATTATAATTTCAAGTGGTTGGAATTTGGAAAGATGCCTGGCCCAGAGGAGTAAAAAAAACATTGAAAGTCAAAATTGTATTACTACCTCTTTACATTGCGAAAAAATGTGACCCAGATCTCTGCAATTTTTCCAGTACGACTGTGTGACCAAAGTTTGCGCGTGACCTAGGTTCGCTATCTCCAAAAATTGGCAAGATTTCGAAAATCTGATATCACCAATGGAAAAAGGAGCATATAATTACCCATAATCAGAGTTTTCTCTGGAATCGGGTGTGAAATTATGAAAATATTGACAAAAGATTGGCAAATTTTGTGCTCATTTGCGCCCATTCCGAAAAATCACTAACTTACCGATAAGGGTCTGGAAATCTTCATTTTGAGAGCAGTCCTCAAAATTGTAAGTAACTAATAAGCAAATTATGAAATTACCGGTACCTTAATATTATTTTTGATGGATCGTATTTTGGTATAAATTGGCTGTAAAGTGTAAACCCTGTGCATGAAGTTAGGTCTAATTGTTTTTATGACTTTTTTTAGATGCACCAAAAATCGGACACCAAATTTTAAGATCGCAATATCTCCAAAACCTTTTGACAAAGTTTTCTAGTTCAACCAATTTGCAGTAAAATAATTTGCTGTCCATTTGGTATTAACTAAAATAAATGAATTTGTGTAGAATATGAACAAGGGAAACGCTCTCGGCGGTCTCGCCTGCATTATGCAATTCAATATGATGCAAAATTGAGGTTGGGACATTATTTATAGGCAGGATGGCCCATGAGCAGGCCCCCAAAATTGAAATCCTCTAAATATAATCACATTTTGAAGTGAATATTGACTAAGAATCATCAGAAGAATTATTTTCTATTAAATGTACCACGATCGATAACTTGAATAAAATATGAACAAATTAATTTAAAAAAAATTAATTCTCATATTAAGTTGTGAAAATATAATCCAAGTCTACTGACCTTTGACCTTGTGACCTGGAATGTGTGTCATATGATTTGTGATACTTGATAACCCTTGGGTACAAGTTTCATGGAATTTGAACGATCAATTTTGAAAATATGCTAAAAATTCAAAATCTTGATGTTGATGCCACAACAAAGTCTAAGTCTGTTGACCTGAAATGACCTTTGACCTTGACTTTGTGACCTGAAATTCCACTCACTTGATTTGGGATACTTGATAATCCTTTCGTCCAAGTTTCATTGACTAAGAACTTATTTATACTTTCAAAATTATATCAAAAATTCAAAAACTTACGGCGGCGCCTAGATCTATGTCTCGCTTTTTGCTACGCAGGCAAGACAAAAATCATGGATTGAATATCACATTTTCTAATATGTTCTAAAATCTCCGCGAACTTTGGTCACCCCTTCATCCAGTAATATGGTTTATAAGTTCATAAAGGTAGTAGAAAATCTAGAAAATGAGATCATTGCCATCAATACGCATTAGCATTGACCCGGGCCGTGGCCTTGGCATGGCACTATGCGTTGCTGGTGTGCGGACACCCAACCCCCATCATTCATTCATACAAAAAACATTTCATTTGTAACAAAGCCAGGAACAAGGTTATATTTGAAATAGACTAACCTTGTTTAAGTTTGATCAGGTTTGCAAAGACAGCATGTCGTCGTCGACTGCAACTGAAGAAAGATCGGATCTTAAAATTTAGTAAGATCAATCACTGAATCGAACTCGGACGCGGCAGGATACGCGTACGTGCACATTTCTGGCAGCAGAAAGATGGCGATTAATTGGGTGGGTCGAAAGGGGGAATCCCCGGCCCGGCTGCGCATATTTTTTTACACAACTGTTTAGCCACTTCAGTAGTATTAGCCACTTCATTTCATAGTATTAGCCACTTCATGAGTATCAAGGGGCCTGCCCAAGGGCCCTTGGTTGGTTCCCGGGGCAGAGCCCCCGGAAGCTCAGGGGTTTTAGGCGTTTAATTATAGTTTTTGATACCTTATTTTGTTGTGACACTGGTAGTTAACTATTCTTTCTTTCTTGCATGCTCTCTTTATTTCTATTCCTCTTTAAAATGCTTTTCCAACAAAAATCAGGGGGGGGGGGGGAGCTGGAGGCTCCCGATCCCCGCCGTTCCGCGGGCCTTGACATGTAGGCATCTCAAGAATTTCTTGCCTGGCTGTTAATTTACAAACGCATAAAAAAGTATAATTTACTAAAGAATGAGGAAAAATCTCGGAAAATTATGTCATTTCAGCATTATGCAGTGGCGGATCCAGGGGGGGGGGCCGAAACGGCCACGGCCCCCCCTATTGGCGGCGCAAAAAAAAAGAAAAAAGAGGAAGAAAAGAAGAGAAAAAAAGGAAAGGAGAAGAGAAGAAAAAAAGGAGAAGAGAAAAGAAAGGAGAAGAGAAAAGAAAAGAAAGAAGAGAAAAGAAACAGAGAGAGAGAGAGAAAAAAAATAGGAGAAATGATAACGAAGAAAGTCCCCCCCCCCCCCCCAATTTGTGTTTCCAAAATCTCCAAAAAAGGGTTACTTTTCACGCAACAAAGTCCGGCCCGTACTGACTTTACACACCAGAGATAGAGGGGTGCTTTCAAAGAGAGGGAACATAATTGCGCGTACCCTAGATAACACTGAGTGAGTGGGGGGGGGGGGGGGGGGGTGGCGCTTAGTGACAGTAACAACGAATAAGGGAAAAACTGTAATCGGGAGATTTGGAGTCATTCCAGTAGGCTTGGCAAACGTCATTGAATAGAGGGGGCCGGGCCGGCCGCATAAAATCTCGAGCCACGGATTCAAAGTTAAACGTTAAAAACAGCCCCTGCGCTACAAAGGTCACCACTCTTTAGTGAGAAATTTAAAAAGGGCACACTATTTTGGATGTCTTTTAAATAGAAGCTATATACTCAACAGTCAAATTTTAGCGGTAGGGCCGCTTCACAACTCTTATTTTGCCCTTCATTTGGATGCACCTCATACCAACTCGCTTGTGCTTGTATTTGAACTCATGTTGGTAAAACCATGGATTTATCCATGGTTGGTGTAATAAATCTTTCATTTCTACTAGTCTAATTGTGTGCTATCACAATCATGATTGTTTCATTTTCCCTGTAAAGCAGGCGCGTAGCCAGGGGCGGTAGGGGCAGTGAGAGAACATAAGACGAAAAAGGAGCAGACAAGGAAATATTTTTGAAATTCTGACAAGTCGAGAACGGTACAACGAATCGTCTTCTTTCTCTAATAATTTAATGAAATGTCAAAGCTTCCGCGCTACGCGCGAGCGGGGAAAAACTAAATTCAAACAACGATATAGAGTCGAGAATGGAACAACGTATTATCTTCTTTCTCTAATAATGTAATGCAATGTCAAAGCTTCGGCGCTTCGCGCAGGAGGGGGGAAACTGTATTAAAACAAGATTTTAGAGTCGAGAATGGAACAACGAATTATCCTTTTCTCTAATAATTTAATGAAACGTCAAAGCTTCCGCGCTTCGTGTAGGAGAGAGGGGAAACTGAATTCAAACAAGGATTAAGAGACGAGGATGGTACAACGAATCGTCTTCTTTCTCTAATAATTTAATGAAGCGTCAAAGCTTACGCGCTTCGCGCGGGAGGGGGGGGGGGGACTCAATTCAGACAAGTACTAAGAGTCGAGAACGGTACAACGAATCGTCTTCTTTCTCTATAAATAATTTAATGAAACGTCAAAGCTTCCGCGCTTCGCGCGGGAGGGGTAAACTAAATCCAAACAAGGATCAAGAGTCGAGAATGGAACAACGAATCTTCTAATTCTTTCTCTAATAATTAATGAAAGGTCAAAGCTTCCGCGCTTCGCGCGAGAGGGGGGACGAACTAAATTCAAACAAGGATTTAGAGTCGAGAATGGAACAACGAATCTTCTAATTCTTTCTCTAATAATTTCATTAAACTATGAAAGGTCAAAGTTTCCGCGCTTTGCGCGGAGGGGGAGGGGAACTGAATTCAGACAAAGAATAAGAGTCGAGAATGGTACAACAAATCTTCTTCTTTCTCTAATAATTAATGAAAGGTCATAGCTTCCGCGCTTTGCGCGAGAGGGGGGGGGACGAACTAAATTCAAACAAGGAGTTAGAGTCGAGAATGGAACAAAGAATCTTCTAATTCTTTCTCTAATAATTTTATTAAACTATGAAAGGTCAAAGTTTCCGCGCTTCGCGCGAGAGGGGGGGGGGGACGAAATAAATTCAAACAATGATTTAGAGTCGAGAATGGTTCAACGAATCCTCTCCTCTAATAATTTCATGAAACATCACAGCTTCTGCGCTTCGCGCGTAATGGGGGGGGGGGGGGGGGGGACAGCGAGCTGCCCGAATATGAATTTTTGATATCTTTTCTCGTTTATTTTCGTGATAAATAACACTTTCGTAATATACATGTACATATTATGCTCAAATTTTTGCTCGATCGCTTCGCTCACTCGCCGAATTTTGAAACCAGAAAATTACTTTTTAGGGCAAGAGGTTATAGCCCCCCCCCCCCCATTGAAATGACAAAAATTGTACCGGTATGGTGCTTCTAATATGACCTTGTAAGTATTGATATGTTGAGTTTTAAAAAAAGGTCTGCGCAATTTTCAAATTTCCGGCCCCCCCCCTATTGGAAAATCCTGGATCCGCGCCTGATGTGTATACCACCGTTATGGAATAAGAAATAAACCACGTTTAAATTTTATTTCCCCCGAGCCCCCTCCCCGATCAATACGCCAGTGCCCCGCCTCCCCCCCCCCGATCTACACTTTGTTGGCGGAAAAATCGCAACTGATCTCCCCTACCTTTCTTCTTTCTCTGTTCCTTCCCTTCCTTCTCTCTCTTTTAGGTTTGATGGGGGGGGGGGGGGGGAGACAAGGTCATTTCGCCCTCACCCTTCTCCACACGTTGTTGGCGAGATTAACTGCAAATGATCTATTTCCCCTTCTTTTCACCCTTTTTTCGGTCCCTTTTAGCTCTCCTTTTTTCCTTTTCCTTCTTTCTCTCTTATTTTTAGCGGGGCGGGGGGAGGCAAGGGCATTTTGCCCCACCCCCACCCGATCCACAACTTGTTGGCGGAAAAATTGCAACTGATACCCCCTTCTTTCTATTTCCTTCCTTCTCTCTTATTTTTTTGATTGGGGGAGGGGGGAGGCGAGGCTCTTTCGCCCCCGCCCCCGATCACTTCTTCCCCCCTTTTCTTTTCTTCTTCCTCTTCTTTCTTTCCCTTTCTCTCCTCTTTCCCTTCTTTTCCTTCTCTCTCTCTCTCTCTCTTTTTTTTCCTCCTTTTTTTCCCTTCTTTTTTTTTTCCTTTTTTTTTCCCCTTTTTTTTTTCCTCCTTTTTTTTTCCTTCTTCTTTTTTTTTTTTTTTTTCCCGGGGGGGGGGGGGGGGGCCTGGATCCGCGCCTGATCCGATGATTGGCAGCGACCATGGCCCGGGTGGAAGGTGTCTTGGACGCCGAACGAACCATAAACAGAAGAGAAACCCTAAAACTCCGAGTAATACTGACGTTGATGATAGGAAAAACATATTTAGTCTTTGACGGATGAAGATGACATTAAAATGATGAGTATACTATGAATAGTGTACGTAAATGTATCCCGTCAAATCGTAGTGAATCTGATAGGTCAATGTCTAACTAAAATAGCCAATATTTACATGAAACAAACACTCCAGTGCTGTTCAGTCTTATAACGATGGCCAAGGAATTTAAATATGTTTCTTTCCCTCTCATGTATGGAAGCAAAATGTTCACCCATAACACTCCTCGATCATGTCAGAGTGCAGCGTGCGACAGGCAGTGTTCAAAATTGGGGTATATACCCGATGTCCACTTTATTTTTATTTATACAATGTAGGGGTACACACTTTGAGATATCCCTTTGTAGGTGCCGTTTTTTTTTTTCTTCCAGAAAATTCCCTTTTTGTTGGTGCCCCTCCCCCCCCCCCCCCGCCACTTTGGAAGTCGCTCCACCGCCATGACACATCAAAGCATCTCAATCTCACAGCATGATGTGAAGAAAAGTTAATGGTGCAGATAAATACACAATAAATATGTACAGCGGCAGCCCAAGTCAAGCAATCATTTATAGAAATGAGGCTTTGCCAAGGCATCCACTTAAGCATGCTAGGGCAAATAAGATGTAGTCAAGTTACAACCAAGGTATAGGATTGCAGACTTTGTAGTCACAGAGGCACATGTGATATAGCTTGCAATATGCAGACCAAGGTTTGATCTTAAAGGCCATCTATACAGTTGTATGAGCCCAGAACATGAAGTAACTCTGTCACATGTCTTAATAATATCAAGTAGTATGATATGAAAATAAAGTACTTACAACTGAACAGGTACAAGATGGTTTAATAACTTACACTACAATAAGTCAAGTGAAGTTACCATTTTTTTCTTCCTTCTTTAATTGCTAGCTGCATTGTGTTAGTGCCACTTAACGTTGACTTGTGAATGTGGCAAATTGCACAGGAGTGAAGTCTGGTTTGTGTCATTGTGCTCCTGAGCCACGTTTTCAGGTGTCTCAGTGCCGAGAAACTCCTCTCACATTCACATGAAGCTATACTGGGCAAACCAGCATCAACTTCAGAAGACATTTCACTTCTGGAAAAAGGGCCCTTATAACATTTAGAGACATGTTCTGATATGCAGTAGTTGCACCTCCTAGCAATGTTGCTTTAGCCTAGTTGCATGCAGAAACATGTCAAGCTTGATCTTGAAAGCAGTTACATTGGTAATGGTATTGAGTTCCGGATGCTTCTTCAGAATGTGATATGTGATACTGTGTGCTTTTATACTTGCCCGGCAATTTAGGCACTTTTGTTGTTATCATGAATTCACACGATCCGATATTATGGTACTCACTTCATTACTAAAATGCAGTGAGCTCAATGTATCATATTGTATTGTCATACAAAATGTCATTAATGTAAACATGGGGTGATTACATAGGCCATCTCCCCCTTGGTCAAATATTTGGGGGAGATACCCCCCTTCCCATCCCCCGGAACTACGAATATTTATGTGTGTGTGAGAGAGAGAGAGAGAGAGAGAAGGGGGGGAGGGAGGGAGGGAAAGATAGAGAGAGAGATTTCGAAGGAAATAAACCTTTAGGGCAGCGCAAATCTCAAGGGTAAGTTTAATAGGGTTTTTGTATTCGCTAAAAACGGCTATCTTGACATTTCTCAATTGCTAAAACTCGAGAGCATCCGCCCTTTCGGGCCATTGTTTTATAAATTTGTCTTTAAGAAAGCATAATGCCATTGTTTAACTAAAGAAACTGCTCAAATGTTTGAAACAGCTGAACCAATTAGCTTCTCAGTAGCTAATTGTTTATTTATAAATGTGTGCAATAATTACGAAGCACTGATTAGCAATTTATTTTTGAAAGCAGTACATGTCTAAGAAGTTTTTGACACGGTTTCCACTGTTCAAACATTTCAGCATTGATGTATGTAAAAAAAAATGTGAAAAGTTCCAATTACATTTTGTGTCATTGTCTTATGCTAAGATAGACAGATATTGATATCAGTTAATGAAGTTCATTTATTTCTTTATTTACTTTTAAAAGATAAGTTTTGCTGATTTGTATTCATCCATGCTGTAATCTATCTATGTGTCTTCAACACAAAGCTGAATTGAATGTATGGGTAATTGTATGGAAAAACAATAATTATATTTGTAATTTTCATAATCCAATTGTTCTGTCTAACTTGTATATTGTGAAAGATGAGAGATATTGAATGGTGAAGAAAAGAAAAGAAAGTTCGGATGAGAGGGGAGGTAATTAAGGGAAATGAGTGTTTTACAGCAAATATGAGAATAATTCGCAAAAAGATACTTTTATTGAAGAGTTGAATGGACTACATCAAATTCACCTTATCCTTTTAATTCACATCTCTCTCTCTCTCTCCGTCTCCGTATTTCTCTTTCTTCCCTCTGTATCCCTATCTCTATAGAACTCTCTATTTTTCATCTCTCTCTTTCTCTGTTCTCTCGCTTTATATATATCCTATTGTCCCTTATAAAGAGACACTAATATATCCCTCTCTCTCTCTATATCGATGAACAGGGATACCCCTTGTTTTTGCTTCCTCTATCTTGTTATTGATTACTCTACTATTCTTTCAACTCTCACATCATCATTTTCTGATATGACTGGAATGGAAATAACATAAAATTACAAGACATAAATACTACATTGACAACAACAAAAATAGCATAAAGCATAAACAAACAAGTAATGAGAGAGAGAGAGAGAGAGAGAGAGAAATACAAAAAATAATGACAGTCACTGTGGTAAAATATACAAAATTCCCGGAATTCCTAAGGGGGTTAGTTCAATAAAATATATTTCCTTTCTTTCATCTCTCCTTCTTTTATCCATACTTTGCTGCTCCCATTTTCCAAATAATCACAAGTAAGATAAATCATATTTCATTTGATTTTCAAATGTATTCAAACTTCCCACTCGAATTTGGATCTTATCAAGCTTAAAGTTATAAACACAGTATATATTATAGGGTGTATATATAGATTGAATGAAAAAGATTAAAAATATCCCGAACCAGATGTAATGAACATTTCAATAAAATGAATATATGCTTGTATGTACATGCATACAGTCATATTTAATATAAAGAGGATATGCTTTACATCAGCTTCCCTCGATTAAGAATTAGCATAAGCACCTGCATTTATGAACCGAAAAATTCAGAATCTCATGAGTGATGTTATATTTTACTGAGGCCATAGGGTGAAGATGAAATATGACGGCACAAGGGGAACCTGAATTTGAATTTGGAGGTGAATAATAGTTACACTGAATAACGAAATGCATGCAATATTTCGCATAGAGAACTAGAAGAGATGTGTGCAGTCTAATTCACCTTTGCACACGTTATAACATGCAAAGTTAGGTTGTTATATTGCACAGCCGTGCAAATATAACAGAATGTCTAGTGTCGCGTGACACCATTTCAGCTATAAGATACAAATACACCATCATCAAACTACACCTACCGGTAGTACATTCTTTTGTTTCATTTGTACATCAAAATGTTAAAATATCTAAGGCACCACAAACTTTATTTTAGTAATTCATGATCATCCAATATACATAGAAAGACCTGTTTAGTACATCCTTTTGCATGATATAATTGAGAATAAACTCACAGATCTGAGCGATTTGCATTGTCTATTACGAAAATCAGAGTGGAGAGTATAGTGTCTATGTTTGTATCTTATAAGCCAGGAATGCAAACTTACTAAAGTATAAAACGTATTTACAAGGCAAGTATGGCAAAGATATACAAGTTCAAAATATACATGTATCATAGTATTGCATAATCCTAATCTGGAATATGTATCATCAAAATTATTGAAATCCAGTACTGAATACAACTAGAATAAACAGGTATAGTACAATTATAGCAGCATATTTATATGTACACTGGAATGATGTTAAAAAAAACTTGGAAATATTTCCTCAAATGGATTTAATATGTTGTACTGGTGAATGTAGTTAAATATGTACAAACAATAATCCATTTCAAATTAGATATCACACTGATAACTGAGGCATGTTACATTGACAACAGAGACATGTATCTTAAAATTATAGCAGCATATTAACATGTACACTGGAATGATGTCAACAAAATCCAGGAAAATATTTCCTCAGATGGATTTTATAATCTAGAATTAGATGTAGTTATTTACAAACAATAATCCACGTCAGACAAAATGTTACACTGATAACTCAAGCCTATATTCATACACCCTTACCAGACAAAGCTAGTTCTCGACTATCATATTGAGTTCTATCAAGTTCATAGACAAGCAATATGGCTATTAACATCTGGGTCATTTCTAGTAGCAAATTCACTAGTTGATTTAGATTCTACTTAATTATATTTTGTATTGAACATGTGCAATGACATTGACAAATACAGTGACATTTTGAAAGATAATTTGACATATTACATACTTTAACTCGATCATAACTCACTTTGTGAAAGTTGAGTGGTATTTCATACATTGCATGCAAATCACTAAAACAACATGGTTAAACTCTACAATACACATATACGTGGTACATGCATTACATGAACTGTCTAATGCACTAACATCCTTATCAAGGCATTAATCCACATTTGCCACTCTCCACCCAGGTGTACATTGGCACCTGATATGCCAAAGCGCGACATATTTGGAGGCCGCCTAGGACAGGGTAATAATGTTTGAGTGCAAGGAGCGTCATAGCTTGACAGCGTCACTATATTAGAAGCCACCGTTATTATCAGTATATCAACTAGTTCCTGGCAGTGTCGCCTTCTATTGACAGGCATAATGCATGGCTGAGTAAAAATCGACCCCCTATTTAGAGTATTTTCAGAAAACATTTTCCACACTTTCTGCATCAATAAAAAAAGGTACACAATGGGCTTTTGATGCAACTCTGTTTTGGGCTTATTAAAGGGATCATTTAACAATGTTAAATCTAAGATACACGGCCTTCAGTGTTATCAGTGTCTGTGATATGGTGTTATATTGAAGCCCTACAAAAATTGCGCTTCAAAATGATCAAGAAGTGCCTCAAAAAAGTAAAAACCTTTGAGTGACCGGTTTTACCACACTTGTTTTCCCCAATAGACTGTAGTGTAATGAAAATCGTTTGGCAAACACAAAATTTGATTCGATTTTAATCATAAATATTTTGATAATTAGACAGGCGATCGGCTTGTAAAAGTCATGGGGTTCCTGACTGACCTAAAGGTTTATGATTATCATTGCAGCATGAGCTAAATCAAGGATTTTTTTTAAAGGATCTAAGACAAAATTACCGGATCCCTTTAAAAGTACATGCACATTCACTAAACGTATTCTATTTTTTGAATCGTTATCTACAAATGCCTTACACATGTTTTTGAACCTTGTGACAATATTATGATCCCTTTCTCTTGAATTTTTTAATTCTAACACCAGATAGTGGACTGTACTCAATCTACAGGTAGGTAAAGAAGAAGAAGAAAACAGCCTTTTTGCAAACCTCACCAAAAAATACCCTTTTTTACCCCAAATTTCTTGCTATCAGGCCAGGGCTTGAAACTAACAGCCTAGCAGAGACACATGGACACCCAAAATCTAGGTCCAGACCCCAGAACTTGGAAGTTTTTACATAGGGCTAATGCATACAGACTATAAAATCTGAACCTCTTTTCCAAATAACAGTTAGTGTGGATCCCTGTATCATGCATACACAAAGTTAAGATGAAGTGTTACCAGTGGGGCACTGTCTTACTCTACTGATACCATAGAAATTAGACTTCATACTTTGATCGTTTCTCTGGGATTTCAGGATCATCCTGTGGAACTCTTGACTGAGTACAAGTAGCTTGCCTCTTGTAAGGCCTGCTCAAGCTACTGCTACCTTCTCTGTGTCTCTGAGATAATTGAAATACAGTATATGGTGTATTGCCAACATGCTGTTGAGGGTGGTCTGATGAGGGTAATGTCCTTCTTGGATAGTGTACATCGGCCATTGGTTGCTGTTAAGGGTGGTCTGATGGTGGTAATGTCCTTCTTGGATAGTGTACACCACCCATAGGTTGCTGTTGAGGGTAGTTTGATGGTGGTATTGTCATTCTTGGATAATGTACATCACCCATAGGTTGCTGTTGAGGGTAGTTTAATGGTGGTATTGTCATTCTTGGATAGTGTACATAACCCATAGGATGCTGTTGAGGGTGGTTTGATGGTGGTATTGTCATTCTTTGATAGTGTACATCATCCATGGGTTGCTGTTGATGGTAGTGTGATGGTGGTAATGCCTTTCTTGGATAGTGTACATCACCCATAGGTTGCTGTTGATCGTAGTGTGATGGTGGTAATGCCTTTCTTGGAGAGTGTACATCACCACTGGGTTGCTGTTGAGGGTAGTGTGATGGTGGTAATGCCTTTCTTGGATAGTGTACATCACCCATAGGTTGCTGTTGATCATAGTGTGATGGTGGTAATGCCTTTCTTTGATAGTGTACATCACCCATGGGTTGCTGTTGAGGGTGGTCTGATGGTGGTAATGACCTTCTTGGAGAGTGTACATCACCCATGGGTTGCTGTTGAGGGTAGTGTGATGGTGGTAATGCCCTTCTTGGAGAGTGTACATCACCCATGGGTTGCTGTTGATGGTAGTGTGATGGTGGTAATGCCTTTCTTGGATAGTGTACATCACCCATATGTTGCTGTTGAGGGTGGTCTGTGGCAGGTTGATTATGTCTTGAGACTGGAGGGTTAGGAGATGGAGTAGAACTTGACATAGTGGCATTGTAGGTAGGATTGTAGTAAGCCTCTCCATACTCCATACTGCGGTACCCAGCAGACATGCTCGATTGGAGATTGGAAGGCATAAATTGGGGCTGACTACGCCCAATATTCCAAGGTAGTGCATTATTCTCTAAATAGACTGGCCAAATACCAGACTCATTCCTCAATGTACCGGGCTGTTGTAAAGCTTGCCTCACGAGTGTATTGTCCTGAGATTCTTGCAAGACTGGAATATTGGCACCTAACCCTCTTGATAGGGTGTCAAGGGAAACACCAACGTTGGCATGTACTGGGTTCACACTGCTGTTGCTTGCCCTTGTTTCTTGGTACACTGCTCTTGATTGCTCTGATGAGACATCTCCTGTGTTGTATGTGTTGCCATGGTAAAAGCATCCTGATAGTTGGCGACATGACCTGAAATAAGGTTGATAAGGATGATAAGGACTGTAAGAAATAATGGGAAATTGAGTAACGTTTGAGTTGCCCATGTCGGCTGATTATAAAGGAAACAGATTTTTTCTTAATATCTGTTTGCAAGATGAGAAATAAGAAATTAACTACAATTGGTCTTATTGAAAGTAGTGCTGTAAGTCAGAGGCCATGTTCGTGTTCGGTTCGGCAGAGTTCGGCGATTTTTCACCTGAACTTGGTTCGGTTCGGGGTTCGGTAATATAATAGCAAGCAGCGCTATAGCTACGGTGGCCACCACTTCTGATGAAATACACTGCTTCCGACCGGCACAAATTTTACATAAAAACTGCTTTAAACGTAACTATTTGTGAAGAAAAGTAGTACCAGTACTTACAATCATATTTCCGTCTTTAATTGTGTTTTATTTGCAGTTTTATAGGAATCATGTTTGCAATTTGACAATAAATTATATTTTTTAAAGATTTGCAGAGACGGTTCTTGTCTAATGTTACGAGTCATGAAAGCTGCCATATTGAATTTACTGATGTATACGTTATAATACACAAAGATAGCAGCCCAGGCTTATTCAATTACTGTTCTTATAAATGTTTATTTTTAATAGGGTAATAATAAAATTCCTGAATTACCTGATTAAAAATAAATAAAAATACTATATATTTATTTCATTATTTATATTGTAAAATTTGTCCAATATTATTACAATTAAAATATATATTTTTTTATTGATTTGGTTTGAGCTGAACTTGTTTTGATCAGCGCCTAGAACGCACATGTATTCTTATTTATGACTTGCGTTCGCGACGTAGCAGAGGTCAGGATTTGAGATTTAAATGGCGCCAGTGAAGTCTCGCCCACCACTGGATAGGCATAAATCACAAAGGAGGAAAATGGTAAAAAATATAAAATGAGCAATCATGACGTGAAAATTAGGTACAAAATGACAATTTAGCTTACAAAAACGTTTACATTTTTCTGCCGAACATCCGAACCAGGCCTTTGCGTTCGGTTCAGTTCGGAAGTGCCATGTTCGGCGAACTTCTATTCGGTTCGGCGGTTCGGCTACAGCACTAATTGAAAGTACTAGTCTCAAGAAACATTTTGATCAATGAATAAAGAAGAAGAAAAAAGAAATAGAAGAGACTACAGTCCCCCCCCCCAAAAAAAAAATATATATATATATATGTAAAGAACACAAAAATTCAATACATTTTAAGTTGATTGATTCCTCTTTACAATAGGGAGTTTGTTCAATAAAGCTGTTACTGAATATTCAGTTGAAGAAATCTTCATCTTTTTTAAGGTAAACAGTATCACAATATTGCATGCTCCCAGTAGGGGTATCAGCATTGTAGCTTTTCTTAGTATTCTATTAGAGGCTCTTTTTTCTATATCGCACTATTCATGAAAAGTCTACATGCTAGCTGTTATCTTACTTTTTTAAGATTTTTAAATCACATACCGGTATACTTTACTGACCTTGAGAGGGTGTGAGGAAATGAGTCCAAGCCATCTTGAGTGACTCCATTGAGCCTGAAGTTTCCCTTCCTGATCTGAGGAAAACAACCCTGTAACATATAATAGCAACATTGCTTGTAAACTTTGTATCAGTGTCAAGTATTAAGTAGATGTATTTCATTCTGGCATATAATCTAATTTCTAGTAAATATACATTCAAAAGCTACAGTTACCTCCCTTAAACAAAATTAAAATAAGAAAACACTAGATGGAACTTTGACTGCACGCAGTTGAAAATGATGCCTCCGTCATAGAGCGATTTCACAAACAAAAACAGAGGCAATTTTTCAAATACAAGTTTGATTGTAATACATTAACAGGTTCTCAGAATATCGTGGTTACAACCTATTTTTCATATACATGTTGTATGACCCTTTGATCTTTGACCTCATGTAAAATCTAATCAGTTCATTGGCTTTGCAAAATACATACATGTCCTAATAAAGTTTGATGGTAATCCAACCGTCAGTTCTAATGAAAATTCGTTCACAAGCTATTTTTGCATGCACGATGAGCCCCAACCTTTGACCTTTGACCTCATGACCCCAAAATCTACTCAGTTCATTGGCGCTGCAAGATACATACATGTCTTGAGTTTGATGGTAATCCGTCCATCAGTTCTAATGATAATGCAATCACATGCTATGTCGCATACATAATGAGCCCTATAACATTTGATCTTGACCTCGTGACCCCAAAAATCTAATCAGTTCATTGGCTCAACAAGATAAATACATGTCCTGAGTTAGATGGTAATCAGTCCATCAGTTCTAATGATAATATGATCACGAGCTATTTTTGCATACATAATGAGCCCTGTGACCTTTGACCTCGTGACCCCAAAATCTAATCAGCTCATTAGCTCTGCAAGTTACATACATGACCAAAGTTTGGCAAGAATCCATCAATCGGTTCTTGAGATAACACGATCCATGAACGGGACGGACATGAATGAAAACATAATGATCCGGCTACTTCGTAACAGAGGCATGAAAAGAAGTATGGAGAATTTTTGAAAAGGAGAATAAAAAAAATTTGCGCATTAGATAAATCACAATCATCATCCTGCATGAAATATTCCGGCAATTAATGAATTTATTGAAGTGCCCTGTTACAATATATGCGGCCTAATGACCGAGTGACGTAGAAATAGCGCTCCTGGGGGAGGAGTACCCCCAAAATGCCTGTTTTTACAAAGAAAAAGTGCCCCTTTTCCTTTGTAAGAAGTGCCACTTCCCCTTTTAATAAGTGCCCCATTTCACCTCTGAAAAGTACCCCTTTCATTTTAACCCTGCCCCTTTTCTTTTGACAAGTTCCCTTTTAATCTCAGAAGTGCCCCTTTTCCTTTTTAATCAGAACCACTTCTTCTCATAAATGCCCCTTTTCACTTTTGATAAATGCCCCCAATGAAATCTGACAGGTGCCCCTTTTCTTTTCAACAAATGCCCCTATTCCTATATAAATAAGTGTAAATTAAAGCGTTTATTAGAATTGGCTCTTAAAAAAACTAAATTACATCTTTTTACTATCAATCAAACTTGGAAAAGGTTGAATATTGATTATTGATCAAAACAATGCCAATCTTTCACACATTTGAATTTCAACTGAATCAGTACATGTGTAGTTTGCTTAAATTCAATGTTTCATGACTGTTCAAATATACCAAGTGAATGGCCTTTAAAAAAGGGTGTTTGGAAAAACAAAAACATATATACATGTGCACCATATAACTCTTACTGCCGTTTCTTTCTTGCAATGACCCTCCATGACATTTACATTAGGACACACATACCTGTATGGATGATGCCTTTGCTTTCAATGTAGAGTAGAAATCCTCATTGAGATTAATTCCAAGTGTCAGGTCAGTCAGGTTTGGCATATAACACAGTGCTTCTGCTAGGAGGTGTGAAGAGGCTGGTGCGGCATACAGGAGACAACCGAGGTTGACAGTCTGGACCTGCATTGTTTGTCAATATATTTAAGCATCACGTCTATACATGCATATGTTTTACTCACTACTTTCTGACTGTATTCTAACATTCCAGCAAAATTCCATTAATTACAAAAACGATTGAATAGCTTTTATTTCAAATTCGATTCTTGTCTATTGAGAAAAAGAACACACTAAAGTTTCTATTGAGAGGATTATTTAGTAAAGGCAATTTTTTTAAATAATTCCTTATGTATTCTTTATAGGGCTTCCAACCTGTTTGCATTAATAAGTCCTACTCCTACTTACACTGAAATTCATAATACTAATAAATATATATTTGTATGTATTAATATTTAATGTATTAAAGGTATTCATAACTCTGGATTTCATATGCACGAGATCCCTAAGTCAGAAGGTTTGTTGCTATGGTTCATTTTTGAAAGTTCAAGCCTCTATAAAAAATGGCTCTTAATAAACTATATGACATATTTTTACTATCAATGAAACTTGGAAAAAGTTGAATTTTGATTATTAGTCAAATCAATGTCGATCTTAGACACACTTGAATTTCAACTGAATCAGTACATGTGTAGTTTGCTTTATTCCATGTTTCATGACTGTTCCAAAGGGTGATTGGAGAAGAAAAAAAACACATACTGGTATATATATGTGCACCATATCACTATTACTGCTGTTTTTGTTGATCAATGACCCTCCATGACATTTACATTAGGACACACATACCTGTATGGATGAGGCCTTTGCTCTCAATGCAGAGTAGAACTCCCCATTAAGAACAAATCTAAGTGTCAGGTCAGTCAGGTTTGGCATAGAACACAGTGCTTCTGCTAGGAGATGTGATGAGGCTGGTGTGGGACACTTGAGACCAAACTTGAGAGTCTGGACCTGCATTGTTTGTCAATATATTTAAGCATCATGTCTATACATGCAGATGTTTTACTCACTAATTTCTGACTGTACTCTAACATTTCAGCAAAATTCCATTAATCACATAGTTGTATTCATAATAACATTCTCAACAAAACGATTGAATAGATTTTATTTTCAAATTTAATTCTTGACTATTGAGAAAAAGAACACACTAAAGTTTCTATTGAGAGGATTATTTAGTAAAGGCAACTTTTTTTAAAATTACTTATGTATTCTTTATAGGGCTTCCAACCTGTATTCATTAATAAGTCCTACTCCTACTTACACTGAAATTCATAATACTAATAAATAAATATATATTTGTATGTATTAATATTTAATGTATTAAAGGTATTCATAACTCTGGATTTCATATGCACGAGATCCCTAAGTCAGAAGGTTTGTTGCTATGGTTCATTTTGGTAAGTTCAAGCCTCTATAAAAAATGGCTCTTAATAAACTATATGACATATTTTTACTATCAATGAAACTTGGGAAAAGTTGAATTTTGATTATTAGTCAAATTAATGTCAATCTTAGACACACTTGAATTTCAACTGAATCAGTACATGTGTAGTTTGCTTTATTCCATGTTTCATGGCTGTTCCAAAGGGTGATTGGAGAAGAAAAAAAACACATACCGGTATATACATGTGCACCATATAAATATTACTGCTGCTTCTGTCATTCAATGACCCTCCATGACATTTACATTACGACACACATACCTGTATGGATGATGCCTTTGCTTTCAATGTAGAGTAGAACTCCTCATAGATATCCCCTCCAAGTGTCAGGTCAGTCAGGTTTGGCATAGAACACAGTGCTTCTGCAAAGTGATGTGAAGAGGCTGGTGTGGGACACTCGAGACCAAACTTGAAAGTCTGGACCTGCATTGTTTGTCAATATATTTAAGCATCATGTCTATACATGCAGATGTTTTACTCACTAATTTCTGACTGTATTCTAACATTTCAGCAAAATTCCATTAATCACATAGTTGTATTCATAATAACATTCTCAACAAAACGATTGAATAGATTTTATTTTCAAATTCAATTCTTGACTATTGAGAAAAAGAACACACTAAAGTTTCTATTGAGAGGATTATTTAGTAAAGGCAACTTTTTTTAGAATTACTTATGTATTCTTTATAGGGCTTCCAACCTGTTTGCATTAATAAGTCCTACTCCTACTTACACTGAAATTCATAATACTAATAAATATATATTTGTATGTATTAATATTTAATGTATTAAAGGTATTCATAACTCTGGATTTCATATGCACGAGATCCCTAAGTCAGAAGGTTTGTTGCTATGGTTCATTTTTGCAAGTTCAAGCCTCTATAAAAAATGGCTCTTAATAAACTATATGACATATTTTTACTATCAATGAAACTTGGAAAAAGTTGAATTTTGATTATTAGTCAAATCAATGTCAATCTTAGACACACTTGAATTTCAACTGAATCAGTACATGTGTAGTTTGCTTTATTCCATGTTTCATGACTGTTCCAAAGGGTGATTGGAGAAGAAAAAAACACATACCGGTATATATATGTGCACCATATAAATATTACTGCTGCTTCTGTCATTCAATGACCCTCCATGACATTAACATTAGGACACACATACCTGTATGGATGATGCCTTTGCTTTCAATGTAGAGTAGAACTCCTCATAGATATCCCCTCCAAGTGTCAGGTCAGTCAGTTTTGGCATAGAACACAGTGCTTCTGCAAAGTGATGTGAAGAGGCTGGTGTGGGACACTTGAGACCAAACTTGAAAGTCTGGACCTGCATTGTTTGTCAATATATTTAAGCATCATGTCTATACATGCAGATGTTTTACTCACTAATTTCTGACTGTACTCTAACATTTCAGCAAAATTCCATTAATCACATAGTTGTATTCATAATAACATTCTCAACAAAACGATTGAATAGATTTTATTTTCAAATTTAATTCTTGACTATTGAGAAAAAGAACACACTAAAGTTTCTATTGAGAGGATTATTTAGTAAAGGCAACTTTTTTTAAAATTACTTATGTATTCTTTATAGGGCTTCCAACCTGTTTGCATTAATAAGTCCTACTCCTACTTACACTGAAATTCATAATACTAATAAATATATATTTGTATGTATTAATATTTAATGCATTAAAGGAATTCATAACTATGGATTTCATATGCACGAGATCCCTAAGTCAGAAGGTTTGTTGCTATGGTTCATTTTGGTAAGTTCAAGCCTCTATACAAAATGGCTCTTAATAAACTATATGACATATTTTTACTATCAATGAAACTTGGAAAAAGTTGAATTTTGATTATTAGTCAAATCAATGTCAATCTTAGACACACTTGAATTTCAACTGAATCAGTACATGTGTAGTTTGCTTTATTCCATGTTTCATGACTGTTCCAAAGGGTGATTGGAGAAGAAAAAAACACATACCGGTATATATATGTGCACCATATAAATATTACTGCTGCTTCTGTCATTCAATGACCCTCCATGACATTAACATTAGGACACACATACCTGTATGGATGATGCCTTTGCTTTCAATGTAGAGTAGAACTCCTCATAGTTATCCCCTCCAAGTGTCAGGTCAGTCAGTTTTGGCATAGAACACAGTGCTTCTGCAAAGTGATGTGAAGAGGCTGGTGTGGGACACTTGAGACCAAACTTGAAAGTCTGGACCTGCATTGTTTGTCAATATATTTAAGCATCATGTCTATACATGCAGATGTTTTACTCACTAATTTCTGACTGTACTCTAACATTTCAGCAAAATTCCATTAATCACATAGTTGTATTCATAATAACATTCTCAACAAAACGATTGAATAGATTTTATTTTCAAATTTAATTCTTGACTATTGAGAAAAAGAACACACTAAAGTTTCTATTGAGAGGATTATTTAGTAAAGGCAACTTTTTTTAAAATTACTTATGTATTCTTTATAGGGCTTCCAACCTGTTTGCATTAATAAGTCCTACTCCTACTTACACTGAAATTCATAATACTAATAAATATATATTTGTATGTATTAATATTTAATGTATTAAAGGAATTCATAACTATGGATTTCATATGCACGAGATCCCTAAGTCAGAAGGTTTGTTGCTATGGTTCATTTTGGTAAGTTCAAGCCTCTATACAAAATGGCTCTTAATAAACTATATGACATATTTTTACTATCAATGAAACTTGGAAAAAGTTGAATTTTGATTATTAGTCAAATCAATGTCAATCTTAGACACACTTGAATTTCAACTGAATCAGCACATGTGTAGTTTGCTTTATTCCATGTTTCATGACTGTTCCAAAGGGTGATTGGAGAAGAAAAAAACACATACCGGTATATACATGTGCACCATTTAACTCTTACTGCTGTTTTTGTTGATCAATGACCCTCCATGACATTAACATTAGGACACACATACCTGTATGGATGATGCCTTTGCTTTCAATGTAGAGTAGAACTCCTCATAGATATCCCCTCCAAGTGTCAGGTCAGTCAGGTTTGGCATAGAACACAGTGCTTCTGCTAGGAGATGTGATGAGGCTGGTGTGGGACACTGGAGACCATTAAGCTTGACAGTCTGGACCTGCATTGTTTTTCAATATATTTAAGCAGCACATCTATTTACGCATATGTTATATTTACTAATTTCTGTCTGTATTCTTACATTTTATACAAATTCCTCAAATTACATAGATGTATTCATAACAACATTCTAAACAAAAATGATTGGGAAAAAGAACACAATAAAATTCCTATGGAGAGGATGATTTAGTAAGAGCGATTAAAAAAAATTCTATATGTATTGTCTATAAAGCTTCCAATGTGTTTGCATTGATAAGTCCTGCTCCTACTAACACTGAAATTAATGATACCATAAATATACATTTGCTATCAATGTATTTAAGGTATTCTTAATGCTGGATTTCAAGTGCACAAGACCTGTCATTCAGAAAGTTTGTTGCTATGGTTTCAGTTTGGTAAATTCAAGTCTTAACACCCTAATGAGGCCGGGGTATTTGAAGTCTTTATACAACAGGTGGGGGGGGGGGGGGGGGCATTCCAAGTGAAGTGTATTGAATACTATGGCAATTTCAATTTTTTTTTGAAAATTTACTCATTTGCATATTATGGTAATTTATGCAAATACGATCATAAAAATTCACATTTTTACCCCTAAATCATATATTAGTCATATTTAGACATTCGTTTTCACGACATATCTTCTTTAGACTATTTGGAATAATAATACAACCAAACTAGATGGATGTTCGACTGAAATGATACTTTTGCCATCCAGCAACAACAACAAAAAAACTATTTTTAAAATTCAATTTTTATTGTAATCCATTAACAGGTTATCAGAATATCGTGATTAAAAGCTATTTTTCATATACATGTATGACCCTTTGAACTTTGATCTCATGACCCTAAAATCTAATCAGTTCGTTGGCTCTGCAAGATACATACCTGTCCCAAGTTTGATAGTAATCCATCCGTCAGTATTGACAATGCGTTCACAAGCTATTTTTGCATACATAATGAGCCCCATGACCTTTGACCCCAAAATCTGATCAGTTCATTGGCTCTGCAAGATACATACATGGCCCAAGTCTGGCAGTAATCCATCAATCGGTTATTGAGATAACGCAATCATGAGAACGGGACGTACAGATGGACAACTAGAAAACCTAATGCCTCCTGCTACTTTGTAGCGGAGGCATAAAAATGAGTGTTAAATAAACATCAACATGGAATTTAAAGAAAGTGATGGAATTACATCAGTTTAATCCTTATCGATGTTGATCAAACACCTATCAGGTGTCACATTTATACTATAATAGACAGTATACCAAGGTAATGTCATTAACACCCTGGTGTATATAATTTTTTTCCAGTTGGAACGGTATACATGTACAACAATAATTAATAGGTAAAGATGAGAAAATACAGATTTGTTTCTAGGAAAATGTTACACAATGTCATTGTTAACTATATTTCGCA